ATTGTTTCAGTATAAATCTACTAGTCCTTCAGAACTTTATCTAGATAATTTTCACAGACACCTTGAAAACACAAAGAAGCGGCCGTCATTCTGTTAACAAGCACACACTGCTACGCTAATTGGCAATCAGAGAACGACATTCGTGATAGAACGCTAGTAGCTAATCAGAGAATGGCAAGTATCAGAGCTTAGCCAATCAGAGAACAGCATTTGTGATAGAATGCCAGTAGAAACTCGGAACTGGTACAAGCCGTTGACGTAAATGCAATGATGAGTAATCAGGAGTCATGTCATTTTAAGTCAGTTGACAAATCAAAGCATTAATAAGTACAGTCAAACCATCACAATGGCCACTCTTTTTGTCTGAGCTGACGGTCCATACATTCACTCTTATTTTTAACCTCTCTATAATGGGCACTTTTTTGGTCCTGGCCAAAGGTCCATATATTCACTCTTATTTTAACCTCTATACAACAGCCACCTCTCCACAACAGCAACGGCCACTGAATTGCATCCCAACTGCCAAAATAGCATCTCATCAATGGACAGATAGTCAATGATTGACAAATGGTGTTTATATAAACTGTCTAGAAACCCCATTTCTTATTGCAAAAGGTCACCAAACTTGATCTCCTGGAGTTAGTGACAACAGGCAATAATGAGAGGAGGTCCAGATAAGGAATCCTATTAGATACATGTAATGAGATTGAAAATTTACACCCAAAAATCACTCAGTGGTGAAAAAGTCAAACTCTCTGCCTTTGGCAGTAGTCCCTCCTTCACATGCTTCTCGCCCCCAGGAGATCGCATGGCCATTTTTTCTCCCGGTTTTCTTTCACATCACCCTCAATGGACTAAGCAAAAGAGGGACTTCTCGTAGTCTACTACAACAGCCACTGTCCTCTGTCTCCAAGATGGCCATTGTGGAGAGTTTTGACTGTGATACAATATGTAAAAGAGTAGTTACATTGTATTTAATAAATTGGTTGAGAAATCAAAACACTTATAACTGAAACTCCTGCTCTGTGTCCTTTAGTAAGTCAAATCATTTATACATGTAGATCAGTAGAGACCTTTTCACCACTGGATAAACTTTATCAGTTTTCTGTTCAGCAGTTTTGGTCTCCTGCTTTGCGCATCACATCAGTTGCTGGACAAATTGCAACAGAAACATATGAAAAAATTTAAACTTCAGATGGGAGACATGCATAAGCTGTACCCCCCACCCCCCTAACAGGGTAAATCAAATTTGATGATTTTAAGATTTAATCTTAAGCTTGTGACCGGTCTGCTTAACATTGCATTAGTACTATGAAAAGAAATTCTCTTGATTACTGCTACGAACTACAGGCTTACGTACAGTAGCTCATAAACTACAGTAACGCAAGTAGATATCATGTACTGTTCTGTAAGTTACAGTGTGATATCGCGCCCATCTGTTTCATTTTGTTTCATAGCGGAATTCATAACGGAATTCTTGCTGTTTAAACGTTAAAATAATAACGATTACACAGCACGCACAAATAGCATTCTTAAAGATGCGCGCTTGAGAAAGCAGCAACAAATAAAAATAAAGTTATTACTGAATCAACGTAATAATTTACGTTCTTACGAGCTTAATTGCTTCCGCTTTATTGTACATTACCAACTTGCAAGGATATGTTTAGCATTTTATTTTATCCGACTAATAAATTACTAACAAAGCAGTCAGAGCAATCTGATAAGACTTCAGGATACTGTTATCTTAATGTAATTACCTTCACTTGTTAGATGGCAAAACGGACGCACCATTTCCACAAAACTCAAGTTGTTCTTCTGGCAGACTTTTTCGGCATCTTCGCTGCACATAACAGCGACCATAGGGCAAAAGGCGCTCTGTATAAATTCAAAAGCGCTCTGCGTGCACTGAGCCATCGCAGGTAAGTGGTGTGCTAACGTTTCCAGAAAGGTCCGTACGTAAAATCAAGAATTTCCTGCATTTCGAAGGAGTATAATCCAGGTCAAAATGATAATCGCGGTAACCTGTCTTCCGTCCGCCATATTGATATTCAATACCACCACTGCGCACGTGCAAACTTACTGACCCATACTGCATTGCGAGTAAAAGTAAATAGGTCTGCAAAGCATGCACGAGAAAAGCGGGTAGCCTGAGCACCGGGCCTTCCTTAGGAAGGGAAGAGGGAGGGAAACTGGAGGAAGCGGAAAGAAAGGATCAGTGCAAATGAAAGGGCGTGTGAACGACCCAGGAGGAAATCAAAATCCACAAGAATTACTCTCATCTTCACCAAATCTATTAAACCTACCTCGTACAAGACCAGAAAATCTTAGGTTTTTCAATTTGAGATTCGATTCAAATTCCAAAACACGTCTCCTTGAAAAAAAAAAAACATTCCGGAGGAATAATTTTTAGTGAATCAATAAAAGAGTTGACACCATCCTAATTACAGCGAAAAGAAATCCTCTATACCTCCCCCATCACTCTTATACTTGATTGCCACTTCTTCCACACATAACAAAGAACTTTGCAAATTTTCAAAATTATTTCCCCCTATTAACTATGGTGACTGGAAGGGTTTTATTTTAACAAAAAAACTCTTCGGCCCCTATTATAAACTTTGGGAGAATCGGTACAACATGAAGAATTCATCTCTTTCTTGACTTATATAGCTGTATCGAAGCTGTAGCACCGGCCATCCTATAGCGTAATTTTCCTCTTAGAGGTCTAAACGCTGAACGGATTTTTTTCTATTTTTTCTTTTCTTTGCTGTCTAAATACAGTACGTACAAGAGTAATAAGAGTCAAAGCGACGGCGAGAACAGCAACGTCGTTCCCAGGTTCTCTCAACCTGAGAACAACGTTGAAAACTCCTGGGAACGAGGTTGTGAAAAAAGCCGAAACAGGTTAGAGCAAATAGGCCATTTCCCAGCTGCCTCTTGCCTCTGTGTCAAAACGAGGTCTCCGTGCGAAACCATTCATATGAAATGCGTTTTGACTACAGGTTCATTTTCATGCAAATTAAGCACATTTTCATATGAAAGGTTTTACGCGAAGACTCGTTTTAAATTGAGTTATTGGTTAAACCGCAAGCTCAAAGTAAGGCGGCTCATAAGTTCTTTGTTCCCAATTTCTGCGCCTCAAAGATCAACACAATCCGAAAGGCTGTCAAACCGCAGACAGGGCGAATCTTTCTTCGCATTATCTCTTCAAATTTCATTTTATGAAAACATTTGATGGTTACATTTGTCAGCGTTTGCTAATTAAGATTTGGAATCAGCGAAAAAGGCAGCTGGAAATATGGTATAAGTTAAAATTAATGATTATACGCTGGTCATTAATGTCAGTCCCAGCGCAATTTGTGAATGATGGTCCCCTGATAAAATAAAACTTTAATATTTACAGCCGTAAAATTCCCAGGATACGAGTGTTTTTTGCGCTTTAAATGCACTATTTTAGCTCCTTGTGTCAAACCGTTTACATTATTTTCTCGCCGAGAAAACATTGCAAATGATTAAAGATAAAACTTTTTGAGTAAGAGTCAATGCACAAATAACATTTTCAATTTTTTCTCGTTAATTATTTGCCTAGCAACTTTGTATGTATAATGTATCTTATTTTCTCCTCTTTCTTAGAGCATTTTTATGCTTGCTTTTACTATTAAAAATTTAAAGGCACTGGACTTGAAATATTTAAACTCCAATTATACTGACACTCCTGTAAAGAAACTGAGAAAGTTGGCAAGGCTTACTGGGTTAAGTTTTAAGCACGGATAATGTCGAATATGTGCACATACAATATTTATTTTTTCTGGATACATCTGCCTTAAAAGTCATAAAAGGTCGTTATTTTTTCTGAAAAGCAGTTAAAAGGCTATATTTCGATCAATTTACACTGGAAACAGAGTTTTCGCATTGCCAATTTTAGTCCGAGTGTAACAGATTTATTGCCTTCAAGGCTAGAGTGAGATGTGTTACAAATACCCTTGTTGGATGTTGCCCGCTTAGAATTTATTAAGGCTTTCAGTCTAAAAAGCGTCTTTGGAAGGCAATATTCATTGTTTGGTAACAGAGATTAGCGGAAATTACCATGTTGCCGTAGAAACCACTCTCGCTACACAAGAAAAACTCTGTTGCGATTAAATTTTGAGCACATCCATCTCTTCTCCAAATTTACATAACTCAAGTTTGAATTCATGAAATTTTTGTAGCCGTTATAAGATAAATTTGGCAATGCATTGCCCAAGGTAATACACCAAACCGTGGTCAATAAAATCCCTGTCAAAATATAAATTTGTGCATGCAGGGAACAACGAAAACACACAGTTCTTGACGAATTTTCGTTCTGACTTAGAACGCCGCCGCTCGCGTTACTTCGCGTTTGGTTCGTGCGTTTTCGAACTTCTTCGCGAAGTGATCTGAAGATCTTGACGATCAGAAACGCGATTTACAAAAACCGCTTCACGGTATTGAAGTCATTCAGTTTGGAGATAAGTTTTTGGCGCACTAGTTGGCAGTTTCAATGCTTTAATTAATTATACCTGACATGATATCGTAGGATTAATAAGAAACCTCCTCTATATCGTTTGTTTGGGATTGCAAAGATATAGTTTCCAAGTGACAGCTGTACGTCAAACACAGGTGAAAATTCATGCATATTCTAGCATCTTTCCCTTAGCAGGAAGCCCTTTGTTTTCACGCATAATTTGTTATAAACTGTCCAACGAGGGCTGTAGGCTATTTATTCCTATTGAATTCTGACAAGGCAAGTCGAGCGAAATTCAGTTTCGGTTTTACCACTCTACAGTGAAACAGAACAATACCTCGTCTTTGTAAACGTTCCTCCGTTCAAAAATGGTAAGTTGCGTGAAGATTTCCTTGGTGATACGTCTTATTTTCAGCGCTTTCCGTTGATCAAAAATTTAGTTTTTTGAATCAGACTAGCTTGTTCACCGGATCTTTGCTCACTGATGCCTCGATGATGAAGTTCATTTTATCAACAAGGTTCGGAAGAGGTAACTTTCCAGCGATGGGTTTTCCACGTGAAACTCGTTTGACAAAATCGAGCTGCCGCGCATATACAAGCTCGACAAAGAAAGAAAAACTGCCGGAGTATTTCTGCATAATCATAATATTGAGACCACTGTTCAGCAGCTAGTAGATTCATTTCATTACTGCATGTACGTGTGAGACGCGAGCTTCGGGATCACTCCCGCTTAAAACCACAAATATTAAATTATTGAGAATATTCTTTTAAAAAACTTGATATTGTTTTGTCGAAAAAAAAATCGTAGCGCTCAAAATAGAATTTGCGTGACGTCTCAACAGTTAAGCGAGATGATGCTGAAATCTAACAAAATGTAAATTCAGGAGAGAAATTACTTTTTTTAATTGATTCCATTCTAGAATAACACTCAAGTCGTTACCATATATACAATATCCTCAGATATCAAACGAATTGAGTTTGTGCCACAAAAACCACCCCTTTCTTTTCAAATGAATCTACATGAATGATATATGTAACTCAGTCAGTACCTACTTTCATTTCTATACTGATTCAGTAAAAGAACTTTAAACCGATGTATTTATCTCTGAAATCGTATTTTTAATTTTTCCAAGTTGAATTCGTACAATTGGTTTTTACACTTTCGCCGTTCCCAGCGTTAACGAATTACGCCTTAAAGCCTGGCTATTTACCTTAAAGTACATTGAATACATACATTAGCTCTAACAAATTAATCCTTAAAAAAGCAGAGGGAGTCCTTTCAGACACAAATGAGTTGAGTTTTAACGAAATCTCAACTTGAACTTGAAAAAGATATACCTGCTACAAGTATATTGGTTTGCAAGTGGTTCCCGCCGTGCGGGTTGTGTTTTGCCAAAATTTTCCATCTTGGCACTCCCTTTTCATTAAGTTAGGATGTAATTAAGAAAAAAAATAGCGAAGCTGCGCAATTTTTTTTGTTATTGTTGATAAATAATTAATGTTACCGCAGTATTTCATACGTCGAGGGAGGCAGTGAATTTCGCCATATTCAGGCCTCGCTCTTGATCTTATACTCAAACATATTTTTCATTCCTGTTTTCTTTGCGAAATAGGGATTATCTTAAATAGGTGTGTTTAAAAGATATCGCTTTATATAACTTGAGAAAACAACTCAACCAGCGAAGATGAAAAATATTTTTCATAAAGTTTGTTGGTGGAGAAATGTTTGCGTATTGATAACTAAATCTCTGAAAGTTAATGAAAAAAAAGTCATCCTTACAGCGTTTTTTTAGAAAACAACACATGCATTTTCGATACCTGATTGGAGATTCACGGTAGAATATAAGTAAAATAAAGAGGCTTAAATGAATTTATTTCATGAATTTCAACAAGTACAAGCAATATCGGTCGACACGAAACTTCTTAAGCTTATGCTGCAGTGGACTAGCTCCAAATGTCAAAGCTTGTATTGTTCAAGAAATAATCTACAAATGCCGTTGAAAACATGTCAATATTGTTCTGTAACACTATAATTACAGCAGGTAATGTCGAGTAAAGACTTTCGCAAAAGAAATGATCTATGGAATAAATTAAGCGAAAACTGTTCAACTGAAACCTTAGGTAATGAGAAAAAAAAAAAAACATTTAAAAAGCTAAAAGCATTTCAGTAAAGTTTCCATTTTCGACGATGTGGTTTTTTTATTTGAAAAGGTTTATTTTATATACATGAAGTACATGATGAATATCATGATAATTTAAGCAAAAAGCCAGAGTCAGCTGCCTAGCAAACCTTTTTCGTTCGCTACAACTAGACAACGTTTTAAATTTTACTTAAGACATCAGGCCTTTATGTGACCACGTCATGCTAAAAAAAAAAGTATACATATAACACATGTAAGTAATACTTTTCTATTGCTTTTTATCGTATGAAGTTTCCATCGCCTGAAAGCTAAATCATGGTTAATGACATGCCAAACCTGTCGAAGTTTGAAGTAAAGTGGTTTCCATGCATATTAAGAACTTCATTTCCGGCGCAAAGTTTATACTTAAAGGTCGAAGCAAAGTTCTTATATCGTAAATAGCTCGCAAAATGCGGCAAAATTAAAAAGAATTTTCCTGGTGGCTATCTCGTTTGACAAACAAGTCAACGCCTTTAGAGTACTTTACATATCTTAAGATAAATGTAGCACCAAGCGCGCGTTTGTTTGTTTGTTTGTTTATTTTTTTCTGTAAAACTAATTTACAAATTGGTCTGACCTGTACACAGATCTACATTGATTCCAAGTGGAGATTTGGTTACCCACAATCACAATTCTATTTAACTGTCATTTCTGAAAATGTATGTTGAAGCATACGAATATTCATTAATCAAAGTTTCTTCTTTTACAACATGCGTTGTTTGAATTTGTCATGTGTATTATTTCTGTTAAAGTTTAACTGGCCGAAGAATAAGAGTCTTCACAATTGTATTGTATTATGAGCTATTTTCTTTTACTTTTTGCATCCCAGGCCAAACGACTGACTGAAGCCGAACGCGAAGGTAAGACTCTAAGACGTGCAAGGAAAGACAGAGCAGCTAGTTTCTGTAGAAAACTTGAATACCAGTCTAATTTCTAAAAGTCTGAGATACTGCTGATGAGCATGCCTATGACGACAGCTCAGCGTTTGGGTCACGACCCAACCGCTGACTAAGCCGGAGAGACTCTGGGCCCAAGATTGTGCCACAGCTTCTATCGGCAGCCTCGTTTTTGGATCTGTTCTGACATTTCTTAAAAGTTGTTCAAGTCCAAGATGACAGACTCTCTGAAGAGGGACGTTATGTAGGTGTGACGTCGCGATTAACACGCGATTGTTACTGAAATGAACATGATTGCATGCCAGTAGCCCACGTGCATGCTTAATATGCCATGTAAGTTTGATGGCAACTGAATTAATGCTTTTGGAGATAGATGAGGGGCACAAAGAGCTCCTGCCCCGCCCTGCCCCGCACCACGAATACGAATTAAAAAACATTTCCTGGCTTTACGTCGTTTTATTTCTTCGTCTCAGAAATAGCGGCAGCCTTCAAGCTATTTGACAAAAACGGTGATGGACAGATATCTGTAGAGGAGCTCGGAGAAGCTATGAAGCAAGCTGGGCAGGAGATGTCAGTTGAAGATCTTAAAGATATGATTAAAGCAGTGGACAGAAACAGTAAGTGAAAACAACCTTGTGGTGGATATCTACCACGGTTTGTATAAATATACTGCCAAGCCGATTTTTTTTTCTGTGTTACTGGAGCGTTAGGAACAGCTGTTTCTTTAGCCAGGGTGGCAGGTGCTCAAAGGCGAGGGAGAAGGGGAAATTTTCCCCCTCTATGATCTCCTCCCTCGCCTTTGACGGCTGCCACCCAGGCTACTGTTTTAAAGGCTGCTAAAATCTCTTCATCTGTTACTAGAAGCTCGCGCCATCGCCACTCGCCACTCGCCACTCGCACGTCACGCTCAAAATCCCGATAGCGCGCCTACTTGTTTGCGTTCTTTCCCACGGTTTTTGAGGAAAAGAGAGACTGCTCGCAGTCTAGTTCGGTTATGAAGGCCTTTTTTTGCCATTTAATGAGCCTCGACTGCGTAACGGTCGATAAACACGCAGCCTTATCACATAGACGCGAGACTTTTACTGGAAAATACACCACTCGTAAAATTTATACGAAACTGCCTCCGGGATCCGAGTGGCATATTTTCGATATCCTCACTAGTAAAGATATTGATGCGGTCATTTCCCGGCACTTTTTCACGGTTGTTTGTGCAAAATGTTAGTTTGTCTATATAATAAAAAGAAAACTACACGGTAATTTGAAGATATGACTTCATTTTTCTCGTGTTAGAAAACAATATTTTACGAACTGCTGTCGTTCGTAAAATACTGTTTCTAGCTACCTCTCGAAATTAAATTCATATTTTCGCACTGCCGTGTAATATCCTCTGCATATTGACCGAATGTTTGGTCAATAACCCATATATACTGCATTCTGTATAACTCAATTACTTATTTTACTCTGTTTTCCACTTTTCGTAATCCTTCCTTGTTCCTAGTGTCTCACATCTTCCCGCACTACTGGTAGGGCGCGGCGGGAACCTGGGAACGAGGTTGACAGTGTTATTGAGGAAACATGTACATAATAAGATGCTAGGGGTTATCCTGAAAGTTTCCCTTCAACAGATGGCTTGCATTTGTAGTTAACGTTCCAAGCTACAACTTTTCACACATTAAGTTCCGCCACATTTCCGTGAACGACGTGACAAGCTCGTAAGCATTTCCATGTGTTACAGCTTCTTGGTCAACACTGTGCAACTGAATTACACTTACGTGAAGATTAAACATACAACAACCGTTTAGAAAATGAATAACGTTAAATGTTTTCAAACCTTTTCAGAAAATGGAAAAGTAGAATATTCTGAGTTTGAAGATATGATGGCTAGTCAAATTGGCGAACCAATTACCACCGATGACATGAGATACTACTTCAAAAAATTCGACGCGAATGGGGATGGTTTTATCACTAGCGATGAACTGGCCCTGGTGATGAAGACGTTTGGCGGAAAGATCTACTCAAAGAAAGAAATCGATGACATGATCAAAGAAGCTGATGTGGATGCTGATGGAAAAGTCAGCTACGAAGGTACGTTATTAAAATTCCTCTCTCGCAGCCTTGGTCTATGCATGAAGTGCTCAAATCCAACAGCCATCTTATCTTATACCTTGGAGCTGAACGAAAGACTCGATCCGAACATGTTTAAGATGGAGTTGAGCCTGGACAGGGGTTAAAGGCCGGCATCGTCGGATGAGCCACCGACAACATCTTAATTTTTCAGTTTTTCTCATTACTTGTGATTTTGAATATCCAGAACTCTTGAAAAATCAAAGGAAAACGTTTACCCAATTACGAAATTTATTTAAAGGCAGGTACAAATCGATATATTTTCTTTCACGTGTAGACTACGAGAAATCATGATCTGGGTCGTTTCTCACCCCCAGATTTCGCGCCGCCAATATTTTTTACTATTTTTTTTTTGTCGCGTCACGCTGAACAGACTAGTGAAATGGAGAATTACTCGACGTCTACTTTCGCGCGGAAAAAAATCACTCTTTTCCCCGTGAAAGGAAATAGTAAATTTCTACAGGCAGGCTAATCCTTTTGGAAAAATATAGCAATGAAAGGAACAAAAGTTGAAAACCCTCCTTTCTTTTTGTATCACTCAGTACGCCGCAGAAAAGTGTCTGAAAATCAAATTCTCACCTTTTGGTCGGAGTTATTAATTTCGATCTTCTCATCTTTACAGAGTTTTGCGCGATGGTCAGCAAGTCGAAGGCTTAAGTCGCCAGAACAGGACGGGTTTGGCACAGATCACTAAACTTGAAGGGTTTGAGGACCGACGACTGATTTCAGAGTAGTATCTCTGTTGATAAACTGATTCAACTATCTCGAATGCTATATGTAATTTTGGTAAATTGAACGAGCGAAAGAAAAGCTGGGTATTGGCAAAGATTAACCTCTCGGAGAGGAACTTGTTGTTGTCTACACCAGAAGAGGGATTCTTTAAAGCTCATTCTTTTTTGTCATAGATTTGTGGAGTTAAAAATTGCTGTTATTCCAAATGACCGTGCATTACTTTAACCTTATTTACTTAACTATTAATCCATAAAAGTGGCTAAAAGATGTGTAATCACACTGTTCTGTATACCACGAAATTATTCATCAGAAGAGATAATCCATTAATAAAGTATTTCACTCAGCTCTAAACTGGCTTGGTGTTGCAATTGCTGTATTTGAGAACAACTAGAAATTGAGTGTGGAACGTGCAGGGTGGGGAGAGAAGAGGGACTATGTCATAGGACAATGTAAAAGTGGGCAAGTAATATATCAAACACGAGAGACAGTGTTTCATCGGGATATCCAAATACCGAGAAAGGAGTTGAAAATACGACGCGCAATGGAGTATTTTTGACGAAATTCGAGGTGTTTGGATAGCCGATGAAACACTGCCACGAGTGTTTGGTATCTTCTCAATCGAAACAAAAACTAAGGGGTAAACGGAGAAGTAAAATCTTCAAAATCTGTGTTAATTAAGACCGGGTATCCAAACGTCCTTCACGATTGTGATTTTCTTTGTTTCAAGTTGATGAATTATTAATGAGTTTGAGAAGGGTAAACGGACCATTCAGGTTTAAGATTGGTGACTCAAGGTACTCAATTTTTCTCTGATATCTGGGTCAACGGCATTGGCCAGCTCCAGAGTTAAAGTGCTCACACACGGAGGGACTGGGCGCAAGGACATGATAGATGCAGGGACTTGTAGCAGGAGCAAAATCACAAATGTGCAGACACAAGAAAATGTAACAGGTCTTTGATGTAGCGAGTTGTTCCATGGAATGTGTAGCTCGGCTCAGACACCATGGTGCCGCGTCATGTTCTTGGGAGCAACATGCCCCTGTGTGTGTTCTACCTATCGGATATTTCTTTGTCTGTTTGTTTGTTTGTTTGTCTTCTTGGAGGACAGTTTAAGGTTATTCCCCAGTATTGCATTGCGCATCCCTACTGTAGGCGCCAGAATTTGTGACATTTGTTCGTGCTTCTAGCTTCGCGTTCGGTGTCAAGTTTCGCGTAATTAGTTTCTTTTGTTTTGTGCCCTTTTGTATATGTTATGTTCATTTGCATACTCTATAAGTTCGGTTCGCGTGTAATTTATTTCAGTTAGTAGCGTCATTGGGTTCTGCGAGCGTCTCTGGTTTTCGGTTCGTCTTTGGTTCATCACATTCGTCTTTTTCGTGTTTCGATCATTGGGTGGAATAAATTTCTATGTTAGCGGAAGATCCGAAACCAGTTAAAAGCGTGTGCGACTTTACCTACTGCGCATAATTTCACGCGTGATTAGCGCGCGCGCATTAAAAAATGGCGGCTTTTTCTTTACAGCTGGACCTTGCCATAGAGGTAAATCGTCATT